TTTAAGAAATTTGTTTTTTCTTATATCTATCCAACATATAGTCAGAGATAATTTAAAATATCTATTTCCGGAGTCTCTTCGAATTGTCAAAAATTGGAACAGTTTCATCTTAGTTTCTGTATTTCATACATATTCATTTATAATATAAATACAAATGTCTATGAATACTGAATGGAAGATGAAAAAATACTTGCTCATCACATATACTGACACCTTCTAACGGTTTTGTCAGTTTAATCTATTAGAGATCACTACCACTCTCTTGTATTATTGCTACTTGATCAGGGAAAATGGTGTTTAGTATAATGATGTGGTTGTAGAAACTATTGACATGATCGCATACAACTTTTTAGTTTTTCAAGGAAAAAAACATTCAAATCTATTCTAAATATTGGTGGAAAACTCTGCGTCAATGTAAGGATCTCAACTCTTTATCTCTTTCCTCAATACTGGAACATTTTCGAGAGGTTCTATGATATGACTTGTGGAATCTTTGTCTCAAGGAGGTTATTAAATTACTTAAGATCAGTAAACTTACTTATTTTAGCCATAAGTTCGGATGGGTATCAAGTGAAAAAGATTATCGATAAGTTCTATACTCCGCATCTTATTTTCAAAATGCAATAGCTATCTACGGGCTATATTCGTATTTAAGACCAAAAGTTTCTGTTTCAGATTGTCATTCTGGTAAGATCCTTTATTAGAGAATTAGACGAAAAATACGATTTAAGTAAGAAAATATTTGGTCTTTTAGCTTCGTTTTAAATCGAGAATAAGCTATATAAATTATAGAGATGAGGGAAAAAAACGAGATGAATTAATTCTCTGATATTGAAGAATTTTATTTTTACAATTGTGAATTCTCTGAGATCAATACAAGTTCAATATTATTTTAGGAGGAAAAGTTTCTTCTAAAGTGATATATTGTTTGTTTATTGATTATAGACAAGATATCTATGGGTGATTGTCTCCTACCTCTCTCTCTCTCTCTTACCTTATCATTATTATCCCAGTTATACAGGGCATCATAATCTTGGTGGGCAGAACGACCGTTCATACTGTAAGTACCAAACACGTATAGAGAAGGGGGCAGTTCGGCTTTGCTCTTACAAGGTACCAGAACATTTTAAAGAGAATGGTTATATCGAGGTCACCTTACCTGGAATATGGAGCGGTGTTCGCAATCCATCACCGTATAAGATGACAGCAGAGGCATTGCTCCCAGCGAATTTAACCAATTTCTCGACATCAGAGCAGTATTGGCGGTCAACAAGGGCCACCCAGAGCTCTCGAGGAGCGGGTATATGTCCATCGCAGGCGTCGGGCACACTGACGAGGAGACCGATGAAGGCGCGGCCCGAACACTGGGCGTAGGTCGCGGGGAAGGACCTAGCGTGTGAGATGACGGTGAGGTTGACACTGGTCGCCGTCTCCACCACCGCGGCCAGCACCGCCAGCCATCGCCACATGACTGCCACTCCTCCCAGCGGCCGGCGTTACTGGGCCATATTTGCATAACTGCACTTCTACAAAGTCAAGAGCGGGACATATAAGAACTAGAGATATTCCTTACCAAAGGCGCGCAACTGATCTAGTAAATATGCAACTAAAGTGGACACATTAAAGAAATTGAAACTTTTTTTGTTACTATATAGACTCTCTCATTTCGAAGACAGAGCAATCCATCACATATAAGTATATATCGGATTTATGAAAATATTTTTTGTCAAATAAACAATTTAATAAGTTCAATATATGTGTGTGTGATTTTATATTATTGAAAAATATTTTCTTCTTTTGAAAAGTTCTTTTATAGATTTTTCACTGTTTTTTTTTTTTACATTCGATGAATTCTTCACAAAATGATATTGTATATATAATCAGAAAAGGAAAAATGGAGAGAATTCTATATTCATAAATAGAAGAAAGTGTCTATGCACGTTTGTGTGTTTGTTTGTTTCTCATACATTTCTACAATATTAGAGAGACCTAAGCGGTTGTAAAATAGGTCTGGAAGGGGTTCAAAGACTATGGTGTAGAGACGTCAATCCAAACCAATGCAAGACTCAGGCGGTCACAGATAGGTCGGTTTATGGGAATGCATCGAAAAAATAAAAGAACTGGGGAAGCCAGAACGGAGTTTATTAAGTCGATACTTCGCGGACAAAATCTCGATTATTATTATTTTTTTAATTGAAGGAGTTAAGGACTAAAAAAAGACCAGTCGAGTGTCATCTTAAAGATAAAAAATCAATTAAAGAGAAAAATTGAAAATTTCAAGGAGATATATATATGTCGTACCACAAGCAATAGCAGTCATGGGGCTCAGTGGTTTCAGGCGTCTATGGTTAATACACAAAAGACGAGGCAGGTAGGATGGCACCTAAGAGAGGTCAGCGGCGCGACACAGGCAAGGTCCAGGAGGGTCTCAGATGACGGTCTTTCAGCGGCTGGTCGTAAAACTCACTAATGACTTGTGGAAGATTCCCGGGAAGGGTCCACGTGATAATATAGGAAATTTCCATGTCTGACGTAATCTCGACGAACTGAACCTCGCCTTGCCTGGGTTGTTGGCTGACTCTCTTTTTAACTTTATTGTCTTATTTAAGGTTACATGTTCGTCAAGCTGGCGCGTTGAATTTTATATGCATTTGAGATTGCAACACTTATTATAATTATGATATTTTACAATCTCTAGAGTGTATATTAGCATTTATATTACTACATATTTTATCTTATCAATATTTCGTGTGGCCATACGGCAAAACTTCCTCAAGGAAAAATTTTGATTTATGGTAAACGTGATTCTCGAAGCAAATTGTGATCCACAAGGTAGTTGGGCGTATAGCCACATGAAATATTGGCAAAATAATATATCTTTATTCAATATAAACAAGGGTAAGAGGCGAAAAGTTCCCAGTCTGATAATGAAAGACTCTAATTTTCTACATAATCTTCCTTGACTTCCACAAACTTGGTCCAACGTTTCTCCAAAATCAGTATTCCTTCCCGGAAAGAGAGGAAGACTGTTAGAATATATTCATCTACAGCTCTCTCAAATTCTTCATTGGACGCAAAGCGCTTTACAGAAAGTAATTTATTTAGGTGCGGGAAGAGATGGAAATCTGAGGGTTCCAAATCAGGAGAATTCTATATACAGTTACGAGCGTCATTTTTCATCTCCTAATCAACTCTGTCACCGAGACTTATAAATAAACTAAAATGGAAGCTCCCTTGAAGGATTGCACCACGCTTGAACAACGTGCAGTTATTCGTTTCTTGAATGCAGAAGGTATTCAAACATCTCAAATATGCCAAAGAATGAAAAATATCTATGGTGAGTCTTGTTTGTCTAAAAAAAAAAAACATTTATAAATGGGTTAACGAGTTCAAAAATGGACGAATTACATGTACCGATATTGACCGGCCTGGACGACCAAGTGTTACAGCGACGCCAAGCACGATAAATGCGGTTTTTTTTGGATGTTGATGGACCAATCTGTCTTGATTTTTTATCCTCAAGGCAATGTATGAACAGCCACCTTTATTGTGACATTCTTGTAAATAAGCTAAAGCCCGGTATAAGAAACAAAAGAAGAGGGAAGCTTAGTAAAATTTTACACAAATAAATTTACTGGCAATGCGTTTCTTTTTTAAATCTCTACAGACCTTACTGCAATGATATGATTTAATGAATGAGAGGGCTTGGCTCATCAGTAGTGAACCCTCTCAGCGGTTTCGCCAAATTAATCTCTAGACCGCTCTACTATTGTATTGGACTGGTTTTGTTATATACCCTGCATTTTCTATGGAAGGCAGCTAAATGGTGTTTAGTGAATTATGGACATAAGCTTATAGGTCTGTAGAGGTACATACATATAAATTTCAAGGTATTGCATCGAGCAAAGCTCTTCCGTGCAAAACATGTTTTCATAACCATTATATATTAGTAAATTAAATTTTATTGCCCTCTATCGTTAAAATTTTACACAAATAAATTTACTGGCAATGCGTTTCTTTTTTAAATCTCTACAGACCTTACTGCAATGATATGATTTAATGAATGAGAGGGCTTGGCTCATCAGTAGTGAACCCTCTCAGCGGTTTCGCCAAATTAATCTCTAGACCGCTCTACTATTGTATTGGACTGGTTTTGTTATATACCCTGCATTTTCTATGGAAGGCAGCTAAATGGTGTTTAGTGAATTATGGACATAAGCTTATAGGTCTGTAGAGGTACATACATATAAATTTCAAGGTATTGCATCGAGCAAAGCTCTTCCGTGCAAAACATGTTTTCATAACCATTATATATTAGTAAATTAAATTTTATTGCCCTCTATCGTTAAAATTTTACACACTCTTCCTACATGATAATGCAAGGCCGCATACATCATGTAAAACTGTATCTACAATCATTAAATTAGGTTTTGAAGTTTTGGAACATCCTGCATATAGTCCAGACCTAGCCCCCTCTGACTATTTCCTTTTTGGACTACTAAAGAAGGAGTTAGAGGGAAAGCGATTTGACTCGGATGAAGGTGTCCAGAAAGTGGTGCAAGATTTTTTTCACACGCTTCCTAAGACTGCCTATAAAGAGGGTATTTACAAGTTGCCAGAACGATGGAGACGATGTATAGAAAGCCAAGGTGATTATTTTGAATAAATACTTTATGTATCATTTACGAACGGAAAAATACGTCCAGGGTAGCCTAGTGGACATGGCATCTGCCCGGTAAGCGGAACATTGTGGGTTCGATTCCCATCCGTGGCCACTTTTATTTTTCCGTTCGTCATTACTCTTCATAATTCACCCTTTCATACCTCATCCAAAAATGTTAAAAATAGTCGATATTTTATCTTGATATAAAAATTTGATTTTTCGTTTGAAAAGAAACTCATGCGGCGTAACTTCAAGTGTCGTTTTACAATCACAGGCCGCAGTGTATTATATTGTATTATAAGTTACTTTATGTATCATTTACGAACGGAAAAATACGTCCAGGGTAGCCTAGTGGACATGGCATCTGCCCGGTAAGCGGAACATTGTGGGTTCGATTCCCATCCCTGGCCACTTTTATTTTTCCGTTTGTCATTACTCTTCATAATTCACCCTTTCATACCTCATCCAAAAAGGTTAAAAATAGTCGATATTTTATCTTGATATAAAAATTTGATTTTTCGTTTGAAAAGAAACTCATGCGGCGTAACTTCAAGTGTCGTTTTACAGTAATATATGTAAATATACACTATACATTTTCTTATGCACCGTAATTATAAAAGTGTAACAACCTCAAAATGTAGATAGATACAATTCAGCGCGTCAGTTTGGCCATTATGTAATACAAAACAAAGTAATAAAGTTTTATTGAGAGTCGGCCGCGCCCAAGACAGAACACAGTAATCTCCTATTACATAAGTTAGTTAGTTTTACCATAGAAGTGTAATTTACTAATTAACCACTCGTAGCTTAGATATTGACTATAACATCTCCGTTATATAAGTTCATACCAACCATTGTTATTTAATTACCATCGTTAACCAAGAGCTGCTATAAAAGATACTATAACAATTTGGATAAGTAAAGTTTTATCAGCAAACATTGATATGTGTTTATTTTAATTTGAATTTGCAAGCTTTCGAGCAAATATACTCCTCTTCAACGGGCTAATACTTTATGTGCAATCTCTAAATAATCTTTATACAGATATAATATTTAGAGATTGTACATAGAGTATCAGCCCGTTGAAGAACAGTATATTTGCTCGAAAGCTTGCAAAATCAAATCGAAAGAAACTTTTTACCTTGTATATATTTTTTCCTTTTTCAAATAATTTCTGGGTAATTATTGCTCACATTGATATGTGTATAATTATTATTGTTGACCAATATCGTAGGTTTGAAAGTGGCTATAATATGTCATATAGCTAGAGCATCCCTAGCAACCAATGATTTGTAATTCCTATTGTCAACCAACAATGAAAGTGTATATTAGAATCTATTCATGATAAAATTGTGAAAAAGTATTAAAATTACAATTATATTCTCACAATGAGTATATTTTTTATTTAAAAAATGCTAGCTTTCAAGCGTTGATCGCTCTTCAACGGGCTTACAGTAAATATTTCTGATGGGATCAAGTCGATATTATTGTAAGCCCGTTAAAGAGCGATTAACGCTTGAAAGCTAGCGTTTTTTTAAATAAAAAAGATACTCATTGTGAGAATATAATTGTAATTTTAATAAAAAATAGAGAATATATAATTTTGATTACAGTTTATTTAGCAACCATTGATAAGCAATTATTATTGATAAAGCACAATTTGGATTATAGATTATAGCTACAAGAAAATAAGACCAAATCCAAATAAATTAATAGTGTATGACCTTTCGGTAAAAGCGTTTTTATCATCATCAGACAAAAGAATAAAATAGAGGAGACCTCAGATTCTGAACTCTTTAAGATAGAATCTTCAAGTGATGGCTTAGCATCAACATTGATATTCACTTTGGAATTTATTTTCTTCAGCTCATAGGAAGAATTATTATTTTGTCTGATGATGGTAACAACGTTGTTACCGAAACGTTACACACTATTAATTTATTTGGATTAGGTCTTATTTTCTTGCAAGTAATTATTATTGTTAACTAATTGTAGTTAAGAAAAGCTTTCATAGCAATTATTGATATGTAATTACTATCATTGACCACCTATAGCTGTGAAAATGACTAAAATGGTCCATTTGGACGAGGAAAGCGAAGGCTAGAACGCGGCTGATTCCCCACTCGCCTGTTCAGTGATTCGCTAACCATGACGTATGCACAAAGGAACGTGTGGCCATTGGACATGCGTCGGACCTGGAGGCTGTTGTTGGGTGCTGCGCTGCCTGGAGTATAGGAGCTCCATCTATTATTTCTTCCTATGGTGAATCTGTATAAGACAGCTGGTCTTAATAAAGCTTTGTGTGTGTGTGTGTGTGTGTGTGTGAAAATGACTATAACATCTCAAATAAGTACAGTTTCCATATAGCACATATAGATATGTAATTCCCATTGTTGAGCAACCGAAGCTATAAACCTGACTATAACATCTGATTTAATTCCAGTTTCTATAGCAATCATATGTAGTTTCATTTTTTGACCACTCGTAGCAATGACATTTCAGGTAAGTACAGCTTTCTTAGCAACCATTGAATTGGAATTCACATTGTTGACCACCTGAAGCCCTACGAAAGTGACTATAAAATCTTAGATAGGTATAGTTTCCTTAGAAACAATAGCCCTCCATTGTTGACATGCGTTGCTCTGAGAATGACCATATATGGCAGATATAAGGACAGTTTCTTTACCAGCTATTGATAGGTAATTCTAATTTTGACCACTCGTACCAATAAAAATGAATATAAGATAATTTTAGTGTAGCATATAAAGGCAAAATGATCCAATACAGTATTAGATATCTAAAGAAGCGGTCTGGTAAATTAAATTGGCGAAACCGCTGGGAGGGTTTACCACTAATGAGCCAAGCCCTCCCAATAAATTTTTAATCGCAGTAAGGACAGTAGAAGTTTGTTTTATTTGTGAAAAGAAACATTCGCGTCTTAATGTCTTCATTTGTTGCAATCGAAATTTATTTCTTCCACGTGCACCATTCGTTTTTTAAGAGCTCTATACTTCAAGATAAGTACATTACCATAACAACTATTCATTATCTTTATCATTGTGATCAATTCGTATATCTATGGAAATTAATTTAAAATATCAGATATGATAAGTTTACTCAGCAACCTGTGATGTGCAATCATCTTTTTGACCACCCATTGCTATAAAATCCAATATATAATATTTTATATAAGTAGATATTTTTATCTCTCTTATAAACTGTATTTATATGTAATACGGAGGGTGTTTCCTTTCAAATGAAACGATTTTCGAGCGCTCGCGTTTTGCACGTGCAGGCATGCTGCACACGACACTGGTTCCAATAGATCTAGAATCTTCTGGAGAATTCATTTTCATCAGGTATCATGATTTTTGCAACATGGGGGGAGAGAGACTAACGCTCCAAGTCGAACAAACAATTCGGACCCTTTCCAAAGAAGGAAACAGTTATGGCGTCATAGTGAAAAAGCTAAAAGCAGAAGGACTAGATGTTGGCAAAGCTACAATATGTAGGGCAGTAAATGGCATCGGAAAGAAAAGGGAAGCTGAATCCAATGGGCAAAAATATCAAGTCGATCGACCACGTCCGGTGCGGACCCCCGCCACGGTTTCCAAGGTAAAGCGGCTAGCAACTACTGAAAATCCACCATCTCAGCGCCAACTTTCCAGAATGTGTGGAACATCGCTAAAAACGATAAATAACATCATTCACAAAGATTTGGAACTGGATACCCGACGAAAAGGCAAGGTTCACAAGCTCACCCCTTTCCACATGAAAAACCGTGCAACGAATGCCCGGAAGCTCTACGAGGAACACCTGGCCGGTTCCAGATCGGAATATACTGCAACATTGGACGAAGCATGGATGTATGTGACGTATTGCAATGGAATCCGGAAGATCTGTTACATCAAAAGAGGCAATCAGGTCCCGGATAATTGGGTTCACCAATGCTCCGAAACTTTCCCTAAAGGTTTCATGGTTGTCGGGGTAATGACTGGCCGTGGAGTCCTTCCGCTCATAAAGGTTCCATCGAAGGTGAAGGTGAACTCAGAATTCTATATAGAATGCGTTCTGAAACCTGTCATCGAACAACTGAAGGACCTTTACCCAGGGGAAATGGACAAAGTGTTCCTTCATCACGACAAAGCCTCTTCCCATACCTCCAACAAAACCCAACAGTTCCTACAAGAAATGAAGGACACCCTAGGCCTAAATTTTATCAGGAACTCGGACATTCCAGTGAAGTCTCCCGACGCCAGCCCACTGGATTTTTACGGGTTCGGTATGTTGAAACAACGGCTCTTCAACCGACGTCCCAAAACTGAGGCCGGACTTTGGAAAGCCGCACAAGAGGAGTGGTCGAATGTTTCGCTCTCCAAAGTCAAGGAAGTGTTCGCAGCTTGGAAAGTCCGATGCAGGGAGATAGCCAAGAAGAAGGGGAAGCACATAGAACACATGAAAAAAATTCACGTTCGAAAAATAAAGTTCTAACGGACGTTTGAAATCGTTTCATTTGAAAGGAAACACCCTCTGTAACACTGGCCACAAAAAATTGCATCACCTAGATACACTTATGTAAATTTTATGAATTTTGGTGAGCTATATAATGGTCATATGAAAAATAATTGATTGAAAATAAAAAAGGATGTAAAATTTTTAGCTATATACAGTTTTTATCAATATTTGGTGTGTCCTCATTTGGCACGTATACAAGCAGCTACTCGGTGAGGAATACTGTTGTAGAGTTTTTATGGTTTATTGTGGAAGGTTAAACCAAGCCATTTTATTTTTTATTTTTACCGAATATGGAAATTTCCACATTTTCCTCTTCATCATCATTTCCTATACATGCTCAATTGGGGACAGATCTGGGGAACATGCGGGTGAAGGAAGGATGTCAACATTTTAAAAGAAGACTCGTGAGATATTGGCTGTCTTTATTTAAGGCACAATGACGCTCTTAACTATATATTGCAGATATCTCGCAACCTGCTGTGCTTCTATTTTGGGAGCAGACTAATAATGTCATTTTGCAACAAAATAAAATTATTTTAAATTTCGATTGTGAAACATCGTAGCTATGAAACTGACTATAACATACCAAATAAGTATCTATTCCTTAGTAGAATTAGATTTGTAAATTTTATTTTGGTCACTCATAGCAACGAAAGTGATGATAACATATCAGAATTGTTATTTTGTTGCAAAATGACATTATTAGTCTGCTTCAAAAATAGAAGCACAGCAGGTCTGCAATATATAGTTGATAACGTCATTGTGCCTCTTAAATAAAGACTAACTAATGTCACCCATGAAGCCAGGGGTTCTTGCTGTATGCCTTTCTACCATACAGACCTGATTGGATCTTTCTTGGGGCTTACGTATAACACGTATCCTGCCGTCATGAACT